ATGTTTGCAGACTAATCTGTGACAAATAAGGTTCAATTGATCCCACCGAAATAAAAATCTCTAGCTAGACATCATTCTAGTAACCTGAGAGTCACAGGAAAGTTCAACATCGTGACTAGTCCAGTGTATGTTTTTTGGTAAAGCGCGTCCCTTGATGTCTAAACACTTCTGTGGATCGATTGCCCATTACTAAATAATCGTCTTTTTAACCCATTACGGCCCTTCTGACACGGCCCCGACTGATCACGGCGGTATCAAATACACTTGCAGATGCGTTAAAATTTGGCCGCAAAGCATTACGGGGACATCCCCTAAAGAGCAAGAACAAAAGGGGATGAACAAACGCAACCAAAGCAAATTGATTCGAACCGCTTCTAGAGGATACCGATGACTCCGCAGGCGACACGAGATCCAGCGTTTCCCGTAGTTTTGCTGAGTTCGGAAGTTCCACGTCCAAGGTCGTCCACATCTGCATGAATAACGATGGCTCTACCGATCACACTATTCCGACCGGTAAGTGAGATCACCGAATCCGAGATCAGTATCGGTGTATCGCCTGTCCTCTGAAATGATATGCATTTAGAAAGTTCATGACTGAAGTAAAAAGTAATAGGGTGCGATTGAATCTGTGCATAATAACACTGGATAGCTGATTTGTTAATGACACATTCCGCGATGATCGAGTAGGCGGGGATTTGCGACCTTTGGTTTATTGTGGTCTCGTTACTGGTGCATTCCTCCGCTTCACCGTCAGAATGGGTGGTGCAGTTAGGGAAACGCGATGCTTTTGAATCGACGCCAGTCGGAATAATGCGAAATGTATCATCGGGAAGTTTTCCATAGAAGTAGTGGAAGGTTCAACGGAAAAAGTTACAAAGTTGTTATGAATTATGGTATGGACCGGCATACAATCAGTGAGCGAAATTATATCACCAATGTAACCACTTGTTTACCAAAGTTATGAAACCAATGGACATTCATTTATTCTGATTTAGCATTTGGCCACATTATTACCACGGAGACCATTGAAAAGCGAGCTCGCTGTAACCGTAGTGGGCTAAGAAGATGAAATAAAACCCGAATGGCGTAAAGGAGCAACGTGTTATCTATTACGGTACATTTGCAGGGGGAGGGGGACAAAAAAGACACTTCGCCGAGGCACATATAGTAAAGAGTACGCAGCTCCAGATACAAGACGTAGATACGATATCATCTTCACCGTAGCCGCCAAGGCGCGAGTTGATGGTATGGACCGGAAGCTCCTGGAATGGGAGACCAACAACAATTCCTGGGCCTGACTGGAAGTGAACGCTGACTGTTACATCGAACAGCTCGAGGAGAATATCCTGCCTTCATGTCGTCCTGTACCATCTTGGAAACTTCGTACTGCTACAGGATTGGGTGCCAGCACATGGAATCGAAGGGCGTTGGAAAAACTCTTGCCTACTTGGGAATGGAAGGGCGTTGAGTAACCTGAAGAAGACGGAATATCTAAGTGTGTCACCAGACCTGAACCCCCTCCCCCCCCCCTCGATTACCGGGTTCGAGCAGAGCTCAACGGGGTTGTCTACAATGGCGGTGAAATCAATGACCTCGCTTAAAGGTAAAGCCCGCACTCATTCGCCATCACAGATAGTGGGTTAGGGGTTTGCATACAGACGACAAGGTTCTGAATAACTCGATAGTGAAGAAAAAGCAAAAAAAAACATGCCAACTGCTCCTAGATAGAACCCCATTTTGATCCCAGTTTGTACGTGCCCAATTAAGCTCC